ATATTTATGCAGAAATATTGAAAATTCAAAAGGGTTCACAAACTTTTAAGCATCACTGCATATATACTACATCTGAGACTAGATACTATAGTCTGTGCTAATTCAGTAAAAGCACTTTGGAGGTAAATATGAATTCACTTAAGTTTTGTTACTGGAAAGCAGAACATTTTTCCTCTGAATGTTTACTTTTGCTATGTAATTGTTTATGTTGACAACTCTAGGATTTAACATCTGGAAGCATCAGCTATGTTAGCTTGATTTTCTGTTATTAATTTCACAGTTCTTAACAGTTTTAAACTATGATAAGCGGATGAATCATGAAGTATCAGTAATGGAAGGAACATTTAACTTTCTAGACAAGGTAAGTTTTCCTATGGAATAAAGTTTAATAAAGAAGTATGGAATATGCTACCTGTTCAACATGCTTAAGCTTTACAGATGTCCTCGTATTTATCTTTATATCTACCCGCTAAAGGAAGGCAACTGTTAAGTTCTTGCTAATGCTATGAAATACTTCCAATCACCTGTTTTTTTTATCACATCTGCAGCCTTTTTTTCTTCAGACTACAATTCTAATTTGCCACCCTAAAAAACCTGTCTTTTCCTACAGTGACTTACCAACCTTATACATTTTTTTTTCTTTTCACTGTATACAAAGCTGGCCATTTGAAAAGGAGTGACTCTTTCTAAAAGGATTTTGTTTGCAAAATTGTTTGCATACAATTGCCTATCACCAAACTACTATATGAGATTGCTGTTATTTTGGGAGTTAGCCCACTGTCAATTTGATTTATTTCAATATGTGCGTATAAAATTGAATAATTCAGCTTCAATCCTACCTCTACTTACTTCAGAGTTGTCATATAAATGGATTTATCTCCATCTATCCGGACACACTACAGCATTAGTTAACGTCCTCCTTCTAACTATTAATTGTCTTTATTTGATGTATCAGGAAAGGAAATTTAAGGATAGTTTACACCACTTCCTTGATTTTATTTGCTTTATTATTACCTTAGTATTAAATATTTTCCTCAAAGCATTTAAGACTATAAAGACTTAAAGCATTTAAGTACTATAGGTCTTAACTCAGTGGTCTGCTCAATTTAGTGTTTATCTTGCATTACTGAACATATATGAAGACAGTCTAAAACATAACTGAAAAACACTGCTTCAATTCCAAAATATTCCTATGGTGAATCAATTTTTTAGACTAAAACAAGACCATCTTGGAAAGGGGATAGAACAGAATAAGGAAAAAATTGTTTGCAAGCAGCTTTGGTTGAGAGCATATCAGATTGAGTTAGAACTGAATGGTAGAAAGATCATTGCCTAAATTATTTGAAGTATTTTAAGTAGATAATATTATAAATAATTGAAAGCATTGTTTTTTTCTCTATGAAGCTAAAGTATCTTTTGCTAGTCATATTGGGAAGGCTTTGACCTGACGTGTAGTGTAAAAGTACTTTAAATAACTAAATATTAATCCCCTAACAAGAATTATGATCCAATTCTGTATGCCTTCTCTCTTTTTTTTTTAACATTCATACCTTTCCTTCTAGAACTGTAAAAACACCAAAAATAAGGTATGCAGTATTCAGATACAAAGCAGCCAAGGATGTTTCAAATATGTCATAGGCATTTTCTCAGTATCTATCATCTATACCTTAAAGAAAATGTACCTTTTTCTGGGCCTGCATAGTAGCTGGATGGGTACAGGAAAATATAAAAACAATCCCTCCTCAACTGACACACCTATTTTGTTGAGCCTGTGCAGCTACCATAGAAGCTCAGAAAGGCACTGTTTCTTTAAGGAGTAGCCAGTAGAAACAGAAAGGTGGCCACACTGGATCCAAAGCACCTTTGCCCATTTTGGATCTAAATACTTTGTATCTTCTCTATGATTGAATGCTCCTGTTTTAGTAATATAATTATTTCAACTTCTCATTGAGGGGGAAACAATATACTGAAATAATACATTCTATAGTTACCAAGACCATCACTTTTCTATTAATACAGTTTCAGTTACTGGCTATGCTTTTTAAAGACTTTGAATTAAATCATATTAAAATCTAACATGTCCTACTTCACAGAAGAAATAAAACTTATTTTAGCATCTTTTCACCTTATACATTCTAAATATCCCTTTTTAATAAATTTGTTTTCAATTACCAGATTCACAAGAAAAATATACAACAGAAAGAAAAAGTAATTAAAGACTTAGAGAAACAAATACACCTGAAACAGGTAGCAAACCAGAAGCTCAGCAAGGAATTACAAGAAATGCTTGTTACTGTATCAGAAAGGCGGCACATTTATGAGGCTACTGGTAGGTCACATTCAAGGATCTGATACCCCTTTTCTGACAAAAAAATCACCACAGATGTTTCTTCTTCTAAACATGCAGCTAGTGAGCTCAAGTGCACTCATGAAAATCATGCTTTCTCTGATATAATCAAAGTATTGTCAAAAAAAGTGTGCAAATTCTCTTAGGTCTACTGTATTACCAATTGCCATAACATAGTTAAACATGCCAATATATTCTGACATTTCTATTGTCTAATTTTGCATTGTTATTTAGTTTCTTTTGATAGTTTTAAGGTGGTGAGAGATCTCCTGCCACTTGCAACTGGATCACTTCACTCAGTGATCCATTCAGTGATATTGATCAGAAAGACCAGAAAACCTGTTTGGGGTACAAATGAAGTAACTGTTTCAAAAATTGTACAGTTTGGTACAGCTCATATAATAGCAAGATGATAGTTGCCATAGTACTAGTAGTAAATTTGAAAGAAATTGCGGAAGAGTGGTAATCTATTCATTGATTTTACTCTGAATATTTTTGTTTAAAAAACAGATGCAGAGCTGCTTAACCAAAACATTGCTAAGGAGCATTATGAGGACATTGTACATCGACAGCAGCTGGTGGATCTTGCAAAGGCACAGGCCCAAGAGTTGTCCGTCCTTCAAGCTGAAGTGGAAAGATTGAGAATGAGAACATTCCCAGCTTTCTTTGATGTGCAAGAATTTCAGCAATAAACACTCTTATGGACTTAGGCAAGGAAGTTTTCCTTCCTTCCTTTCTCCTCCAACTTAATTCTTTATTACACTAACATAGCTTTATAAATATTGTGTTGTAATTTATTTTGATCACCTTAAGGATTTTATAGTCAGAATGCATTTATGATTAAATAAATTTACCAGTTTGTATGTGTAATAGATTACTGTTGTCATACTAAAATTTCTCAACTGGAATAATCAGGCATTCCAGTTTTACAAAAGCAAAAGATGTGTAGTGGAATTAAAAACTCACCAAGGAACAGAAACATAACCTGGGGTGTAGAGAAGTACCCCAAAGCAACTTGGCAGAAGAAAGTAGCTGAAAAAGATTGCAATTTGAAGAGAGAGATTGAGTTAAGAAACAAATGAGAAGGTCATATCAGCAGAGTCTGGGAGTTTAATGTATTAATTAAGGAGGGAGAGATGGCCAGGTTTTAAATATAGAGGATTGACTGAAAAAGCATAAAAGAGAGGGATAGCAGGTTCTTACAACAATCCAGTGATACAGTTCAAGACTTAGATTCAATTCTTGAAAATACTCATCTTTTGATATATTTTTAAGAGTGAAATAAAACACTAATATTATGGATCTGTAAAATCTTCATCTGTTCGGATATAACGTAAGAGTTTGTCATCTAGTCCAAAACTATCAATCAGTTGAGTCAGACTTAATTTCTTGTTATCAGTAGATAAGGCTGATTGCAGTTCATACAGCACTGCTTGGGAACTCTTTCTCCATTTTGATATCAGAAACTGTAACTCTGTTGGGTTATTCTGTAGGGAAACAGAAAAAGCAATAGAGCAATGTGTGATATGAAATGGATAACCTAGACAAAAGTTCCAGTAGAGAACAGAAATTCACAGAATTAATTTAGAACTATCATAAATGTCAGGGTTTTCCCCTTGCCCCATGTTTGTTATGTACTTTCCATTTGAAAGAATAAAGTATCAGATACAAAAACTCTAAAAAAAACCTTATGTTTAAGACAATAAATTGGGATTTATTTATTACTACTTTTAGAATATAATAGACTTATCTTACTTAGGTATGGAATTATAACCTATATTAGATATATTTATTTGCCCAGAACAAGCAAAGTATATAAATATTTGCAGAGTTTATACAATGGATATGATTTCTAAAGGAAAGCTCATAATTTTAATGTGTGTAGAAAGAGGAGAATGTTAGAATAAAATTGGGTACAAGAATAGTTTATATAGAATTAATATTAGATAAAAACAAGTGCTGTTCAGCTTTAAATTAGACAGCACCTGACAAGAAACAGCATTTTACTGAGGAAATGGCCAGTTTCCATTACAGGTAAAGACTTATTCATCTCTAATATAAATGAAAACAAGTATATTATGCAGTATCCAACTGCAAATTGGATAGTTACAGTATTAGGGCATTCAACAGCATAACAAAAGTATTGAAAAACAGTCTTATCTGCAGGATTTGTTTCTAATGTATTCTAATGTAATTAAACTTACTTAAAACTGTTTCTGAAGTAATTTTTAATATTTAATTTTCTTACCTTTGATCTGTACACTTTGACCAATTTAAGTCTTCGAAGGAGGTCCTCTTTTTCCTGAAGCTGCTTCATTAATGTCACCTTTTCCTCCAACAGCTCCCATTGTTTACAGTCTGTCTCCAGTAAATTAACTTCTGAAGAATTGTGCGCAGTTTTATTATATCCAGTATATTCAGATATACTAAGTGCTCTGTCTTGTGCAGAACTCTTCAAACACATAGTTTCATCAGGAACTTTTTCCAAGCATTTATCTTCAACATGTGATACAGAATATGGTTCTTCCTTAGATAAAGTTTTGTCCTTCTGGTTACTATTGTTTTCATCATCTATTTTAAGTTGTTTGGCTACAAGAACATTTGAATGAAAGGATCTTCTTGTTTTCTTCAACCGTTCTCGTAGGGTTGTGCTCATTAGCTACAGTAAATGTAATTAAGTAGCATTAACAGAAGAACTGTTTTTGTAACAATCAATGATATAAACATACTTTAAAAGTTAATTTCCTGATATATTACCTGTTTCCCTAAGCTGCTGCTTTGAACAAAACTGTCACAATTCTCTGGACTGCAGGATGATCTAGGTTTGTTCAATATAGGTGTCCCCATTTTGAGAACTGATCAACCTGCTTGAAGGTTAAGACAGCAATTTCCATTTATCAGTGTAAAATCATCTTATACAATATCGCTTGAATTCTGGTGTCTACAATTACAGTATTTAAGTAGGGAACCCAGGATTAACTGATCTCATGAGCTATCTAAATCATACAGTTTGCAGTTTACACTATTGTTATCAGAATAGGTAGAACCACAAGTCTATGACACTTCTAGATACTTCCCCTTGCCGCATATAAACAAATATACAATCCCATTTCCAACCTGCATGTGAAAGACAAGTTCTATGCTCTTGGAGTTGATGCATATTCCTTTCACAAGAAGGCATATTTAAACAAGACAGCTTCTTTTGAAGCAGAACTGTCTGTTCTGCAGGACTCAGCCAGACAGATAAAAAGAAAGATGAGCTGAAATAGTCACGTATTTTACTTGAGTGTGTATTAAACAACATCTGGCCTTTCCTTATGTCTCCTATAATAGACAGTTGCATGGAAGCCCAGAATGCAATAAGCCAATGAGGAAGTGACTGGAGAGGGGATGTGCAACCTGGCTTCCCAGGCCAGAAGTGACAGTAAGCCTTCTCCAGTAGCTTTAAAAGCCCCTTATCCTTCCCACCGGAACACTCCTTTCTCAGCATTAAGCATCATTCCGAGTACCTTTTTTCGTGGAAGAAAAGAATTTATCTTCGGAGGAACTGGAAAAAATCCTGGCTGGATTGAAGGCTTCGCCGCGCCTTTCACAGCGGAATAATCCTCGCCTCGCACTAAATTACCTCAGAAACAAAACACAATCCAAAATCGGGGCAGCCATAGCCACACAGCCGCGTTTTGGACTTCCCGCTCAGACGGAAGCGGAGAAAGCGCGCCTGCCGAGACGAAACTTCTCGGCGCCGCCCGCTGCGTCACGATCTCAGACGCAAGAGCTGCGGGGCGGGAAAATGGAGGGAGGAAGGGCGGATCGAAGAGGAATCGGGAAAACGCGCCGAAGCGCTGGAGGGCGGGAGGGCTGAAGTCTCCTGCGCCGCGTTGGTTTAACACAGTGTTTTGGAAACTTGGCAGCTTTAAGATGTGTGGACTTCAACTCCCATAATTCCCCAACCAGCATGGCACATCTTAAAGTTGCTAAGTTTGAAAAACACTGGTTTTATGCAACTCCATAGAGTTCTAGGCGCGCTCACAGAACTGAAGTCCCCTTATGTTCAAAGGAACTTATCCCCAGGGGAAGATGCCTAGAATGAAGTCTGGTTTGCTTTTATATTTCTTCCCACTTACCAATCAAAAGCTTGTAAGCGAGGCTTTTCATTGCATAATTTCTCTTAGTACTGTAGCTATTAGGAATGGGTGCAAATTTTGTATTCTCTGTATGATTTTTCTGTGTTCTTACGTTCCTTCCTCGATTTTTTAAACTACAATTAGCCCAAAGTCTGGCAGGCAACTATTTTTTAAAAAAGCAGTTCCTGCTTCTGTCTAGTCTTCGCAGTTGAGTTTACCTTGGCTAGTGGGATACATCAAGGCACTTCCAGACAAGTAGGGTTTCTGTCTCCCAAGCCCTTGTATATGAAGTTTAAACACCCAAGAGCATTGATGCTTTTGAATGTTGATGTTGGAGAAGACTCTTGGGAATACCATGGATAGGCCAGAAAACAAGCAAATGGATCACAGAACAAATTAATTAGAGGTGTCACTCAAGGTTCAAATAACCACCCTCAAGCCACCATATTTCAGATGCATTCTACAAAGAGCCAGTTCCATCTTGAAGTCCATAATGGTGGAAAAGGTAGAAGGAAAGCAAAGAGGACAACTAGCAACAAGGGGTATGGGCTCAATTGCAATAGTAGTGAATGTAACATTGAGAGACCTAAAAGGCCAGGCTGAGGATAGATCATTCTGAAGAAAGTCTATGGCCAACATGAACTTGAAGTCAACTAATCAATTAATCAAGCATTATTCAGGCTGTTTTGACTATTTTCAGAACCATTTCAGCAACATAATGTAGCACTTACAGTTCAGCAACAGCTCAAACTGTAGCACAACTGTGCTCTGGTAATTCTTTTTATATAATAGTTTTCATGAAGATCCCTTGGTCTCATTCCAGCTTGCAGCGAAAGCAGCTTAAAGTCTTATTTAGGCGTTTCAGTTTCAAAATAGTGTTTCCCTTTTCTCCTGACACTGCTTTGGCAATGGACATAATCTAACATGCTTTGTCAGCAGTGTGGTTGTTGCAGGATTGAGCTGACATCTGCCTAGCTCTGCTGGGCTACTGTAGGCTTCTGTGGGCATGCTGCCTCCAGTCACTGAGGACAGCCCACTATGGGCATTTTGACTTAGGCTGGAAAGAAACTAGACACCTGGCTTCTGCAGAGTCATCTGCCCTTGTAATTCCAGACCGACAGCTTCTTTATATACATGGAGATCCTGCATGTATCTCATGAAATTTATTTTAGTTCACAAAAGCATAATGCATTTGTTAAATATTTGCAGTGCCATATAGGGTTCACACTAGTCTCTGCTACAACAACTTTATAATTCTGGGCCAAATTGCAATATATAAAGTATTTAAAATATTATTCTGCCAACAATAACATAGATATTAGACCATACTGGAATGGGAAGGACTACTGTACGCATGTTCCTCCTAATTAATGCTTCAGGACATAGAAATATGAAACTGCATTGTATGCTTTGTGTGTCAAGATAAATCATAATGTTTAGCTTTCAATTGGATGAACTAAATATGGTAGTGAGTAACAACAGCGTCATCTGGATTTGCTTGTACAGTATATGAATTGGGTGGAGCTTTGGAGGTTTTGCATTTTCTGCATAGAAACAGGAGCAGAATTTGCATTAGGACAAATTGCCAGCAGTTTGCAGGGCGGGAAGGGGGACAGGTGGGTGGGAAATGACAGCATCCTGCAAATGACAATGATTTATCAGACCAATATTCTTGTGTTTCATTCAGGAACTGAGGGTGGGGTACATAGCACTCCCTCCTCCAATTTTTCTCACAGCAACTCTGTCAAGCAGAGAGGGTTGAGAGAGTGTGACCTGTGAGTTTCTGTTTTGGAAGGTGGATTAGAATGTGTTCCTAGTCCATTGTTTCTCAACCTTGGCCACTTGAAGATGTGTGGATTTCAACTCCCAGAATTCCCACACATCTTCAAGTGTCCAAGGTTGAGAAACACTGTCCTAGTCCAACACCTTAACTACTACACCACATTGACTCTGATGTGACTTACAAACCTGCATCAGACATCATATTACTTAGGTGTTAAAACAGTCCCTCACAGGGGTGATCTTTATGCAGGTCATCTAACAGGCCTTTTTAAAAAGATGTTTGCATTGTCTGGTTATTGATAATGAACTAGAGATGTTGACTTAAAGGCCAGGCCCATGAAACTAATGTTTATCTACAATTTACTGTGGAAGATAGAACTGAAAATATTTTTTAAAATCTCCAGAATTTGGAGGTGAATATTATGCCTCTTGCTAGGCTGCTGCCCCTTCTGAATTTAGTTGTCTGCAGGTGTGAGACAAAATTTGTACAGCAACACCATGCCTCTTCAACACTCTGAAGAACAGGAAACTTAAAAGAGTCGTCATTTAGATGATCAAATTTTCAGTTGTCCACTGACATGATACACTTTCACACTGAAATTTATGTAAGCATTTTTTTTTCTAATACATGTACAGTATTTGCAAATTATCCATCCAATGTAAAAAAAAAATATTTACAAAAGATGTTTTGCCTGTCAATTACCACTTGAGTGTTTACCATAATGCCCTCTCTTTATCATTCTCTGTATGTATTCTTGCACATCTATTTAGGAAAATGCTTAATATTTCCAGGATGATGTGGACTCAAGTTCCACCAAGTTGCATTTATTTGCTTTTAAAACTTCAGAAGAAAATTTGTTTTTCTGCAAGAAATAAATGCATAACTTTCTGGATAATTTTAATTCACACCGGATAGCAGAACTGTTGGCCTCCCATTTTCATTCTGAAAGAGGGGCTGCCAATATTTACAAAATTCTTGGTGTGCCATATTTACTTGAAAGGAAGACACATACCCCCCCCCCCAAATTATTACCTGTGGGGGAGGGAGGTGAGAGTATGGTAAGGGAAGAAGGTGTGGAAGATGTACAGTGGCTGCAAGAGCAATCTCTGTGACTTCAAGGGAGACAGAACCAGCATATCAGCCTTGCCCATCTTTTACTGTCCTCCCTGTATAAAGGTGAATGGTTGCAATGGAATTTCCATTGGGGAGAGTTGAGACTTTTCACTGCAGAAACTCACACAGAGGGGAATAAGTGGGAAATGAGATGGCATATTAACTAAACACGATTAGCAGTCCTAAACTACTTATTTAGGAACCTGAGCCCTGCATTTAAAGGGCCTTATTACTGAGTAAGCTTGCATTGGTTTCCTTATTGCACACAGGAATAAAAAACAGCTCAGTGCCCCCAATCTATCCCAGTTTGTATCCTGACTTATATGGTGTAAATAGGGCTGAACAGATCCATCCTTAGTATAGCATCAGCCACTGCATATTTACCTGGGAGCAGGAACTCTGGAATGCATGGGGATTTATTACAGAATATGCTTTCTGAGCTCAGTGTGTGTCTACAAGAGTCTGGGTCTGAGAGACAAGTTTATGCAAGCATATGTATTACAAATTGAATGTCTTATTTTACAGGCAGTTAAGTTTAATTGGTAATCATTAATTCAGTTAATATTATTTGAAGTTCTTATTCCTCCCTTCTGCTTTTTTGAAGTATAGCCTTGGTCAGTGTGTGTGTGTGTGTGTGTATACACACAGACAGACAGATATATATGCACAAAATAATTTAGGTCTGTCAAATAGAAACATTTATTGGAAGAAAAATCTCCAGGACTGGATTCAGTGGACATTGGCAGTCCTAGTATAGAAGGCAAAGAATCTCAACAGCATATAGGACTTGAGTGTTTATAACCCTTTTGCTTGGCATAATCTTCCAGATGAGTGGTTGTCTTAAATTCAGAATAGTCTTTCTTTTGGATAAATGTGATACATCCCATCTAAAATTACTCCCTTCTGCATCCCTATATATGTGCATATGTGTGCATGCATGCAAAACTGTTTCTTTCTCTAAGAAGATAGATATAAAATAGATAACCGGATATAAGAAATGCTGGCTCACAGCCCCTTAATCAGTTCATTTGCAGCTTCTGCTGGCCTGGTTTTACTTTCAGTATAATAGAGACCACACCTAGAGCCTTTTAGGAATTTGTTCCTTCTGCACATCCAATCTTCATAAGAGTAATAGGTTCATCTAAAACTAACATCACACAAAACATTTTGCTTTGTGATGTTAAGCAAGCTTCTACAAAGTCAAAAGGAGAATAAAACACCCTGCTGGCTAGTAATTTCAGGGAGCTGTGCTAGAACTTGGCACAACTTGCCCTTCTCTAGCAAAACAGAATATCTTGCACCTACAGGTACAAGTTTAAAAACAGTTGTAAGGTTGCCAGATTCCTAATGTTAAAGCAATAATTGGAATTAAGCACCATACAATTAAGCCATCCCAAAATGAAATTTGGCAGCCCTGAGTCATGCAAGTGAGTGGAATTCCAGGTTTTAGGTATGGAATACACGCAGTTTCTTGGCATAAGATCGGTTAGTGGCCATTGAAACCAGTGGCTGAACTTGTTAGGATGAAGTTGTGCTATTGTTTTATTATTAAAAATAATAGTCCTGGGAGACTGTGTAATTTGTAGACCCTATTTGCTTCCAGAAATATGACAATCAATACTTACTTGATAGGAAAGGAAAAAAATTAAACTAGTCTGTCTTACTTTCACTTACTTTCACTGTTTGCAGCTTCTTTTAATTAC